ATTTTTTAAAATACAAAAAATTAATAATTTAACAAAATTTTATCACAACTTACCAAAAGTATTTTCTTACTTTCCAAACAATACTTTTAAAATTACTTTTTTAATAAAATGTTTCTCAATAAAATTAATTTCTAATCAAATAAATCTTAAAACTTAAACTCCAAATAGATGTTATAGAAACAAGAGTGTTTATTGAGTTAAAATATTAAGAAGTTGAAGTTGATTCCTAAGTTCAATTCACTCGAACATGTTTTAATTTAAATAGAAATAAAAATAAAATTTCAAATATTTAAAGGAAAAGTTTTGGCAAGCTGTCTATTTTATTTTTAATTAATATTTTTAAAAATTAATTATTAAATTAAAAATTTTATTGATATAGATCATATATAGTGATTTATAATTCTTCTAATAGGTTTATATTTTGTTGATTCTAAAAAATTTAATATCATTAAATATATATTAATAAATAAAATTTATTTGATTAAAGAATTATAAGTATTAAATTAATATAAAAATTGACATATATAATTTTCATAAATATAATTTTTAATTTAATAGTTAATTTTTAAAAATATTAATTAAAAAATAAATTTTTAGATATATATTTTTAAAAAATTTTAAAAAATGATCTACTCTATACTATTCTAAATATTTAATTTATAATTATTTTTTAATGTAATGGAGTTGATGTAGTGGTGTAGTGGTAACAGTCCGAGATGACGCCCCTCATCACAACCCAAAGTCAAATTCCTCGGGTGACTTAATTTACTCCCAAAAACCTAGTCACCTCAATGACATGCAAAAACGAGTTCAGTTGAGTTCGAGTTTGTTCTCTTTGCTCTTACTCTACAGTAACTTTGTACATACAAAGATATTTTAGAAAGCATTTTGGGATTATTGACACATACAATCTTAATTTTTTGTGAAGAACAACATGTTGATGCCTTTTTGAAAGTTACAAATACTTCCAAGGATCCTCCTAAAAAGATAAAAATACCCTTAAAGGTCCTTTCAAAAAAGTAATTGAAATTGAACTCAAACTCAACTCTTGATTCATACTTGATAGTTCTGATTATTGCTGAATTAAGCATTGAAATGTATGTTCTGAGGACCCATATCTAATCTTTGTAGGTTGACCGAAGTGAATATCCAAGTTTAGGGATACTTTGGAGTTATTTTGCAATTACAGTTGAGTCAAGTGTTATTGAGTTCCAAAACTCAACTCAGCTCGATTTTTCAGGTTTAGTTTTGAGTTCAAATATAAACTCGATTTTGATTTTAGCTTGAGTCCAGTCGAAGTAACTTGCATCCAACTTAGAAATGGGAAGCTCAAGCAAATGAGCGGAAAAAACCCAAACCTGAATTGAACATCGTACGAGTAGCTCGGGGGTTCTGCTCAACTCACTTACAATTTATGATAATTATATTATGTTACATTATAATGTTTATCAATTCAAATTCTAAAAAATAAAAAAAAAA